ACTGTCTTCTTCTCATGAAGGGAGGGACCTTTTAAGTCTGTTCATTGCTATAAACCAACACCTAAAATGATGCCTGCTCCATACAGGTACTCCCTATTTTTTGAATGAATGAACGAAAGAATGTGTGCTAACCGTAACAAAGCCAAAGTGCTCAGCCTGATGTAGGATACACAAGTGAATCAGAAAGGGACCCTTCCCTCAAGAGTCTTGAGGTTTATTAGAAAATCAAACACATGGAAAGAGACAATGTGCTATCGGTTCTGAAGAGGGAAGAGATGACATCCAGCTGTAGGAAATCAAGGCTGGCCTTAAGTAGGTTGCATTTAAGCTGAAAGATAAAAGATGAGTATTTTGGTATTTTATATTTCATTCAATATTCTCTTTGTCCTGCTTTATTAGACAAACTTGACATCTTACTGCTTACCTAACCTGCCTTTCAAAACATGTTGGCACTGTACTTGGTTGTGAATATTTCTATTGTTATATGAATTTGGGCTGGATTCATTTGGTCATTTGCAGGTAAGTGCATCTATAGGCAAAAAGGCACATTTATGCATGAAACATAGCAAGTAATACAGATTTTAGACAATAACTTTGTTTAGCTGAACTAAAATCTTCCATATTACTGCTTTTGTAATTGAGCATATTTTACCATTAGCACAAATCAGCCCATAGGCTTATGCAAATAAAAATGCAAATAAAATGTAAAGATACAATAACATTAATACCAAATTCAGTTAGGCTATTAATGTTAGACAACACTACATACATCATTTCCATATTACAGGTAATGTGAACATTTTCTAAGCCAGTAAATGATTTAAAATTCAAGACAATTTTATTATGTTTCATGGGACTAAAAACAACATAATGTTCTTATATTCTATATGGAGGGTAAATATTTGTTTATCTGTCCATTCCCCTTCTCCTTCACCCTCTGCCACCTAATACTTGGAGAATGACATCTTCTTGATAATGATGATTTGATTTACTGCTACTAGAGATTCAGGTTTCTGAGAAAGAAACCATCGAAAATATAAAGGAATCAGACATTTCTCCCTATACTTGCATTGGTATACATCCATACACAAGTCTATGGGCACTATTCACATAGATGCTGATGAAAGTGATACCCCTGCAGCTGTCAGTGCCCAAACTGTACCACCATACAAGGCACCTCTGATCATGCGAAGGAGTAATTAAGTATGGGTCATTTTAGAAAAATTGGGCATTAATACTTGTCATTCTGAAGTTACAACTCAGCACAATGTTACAAAACAAAACAAACTCCCCACCTTGTCAAAAAAAAAATATATATGTATATGTTAGAAGCAAATCAATGCAGTGTACTTGTAGAGGACATTGTGGATTGCTTACCTAAAAGTCGATCTCCCCTTTTCATATTTGTTAACCCCCCCTCCCCCAGGTTTGTTCAAATATTGTGCAGCTATGCAGTTTACAAGATTCTGGATCCCGTTCTGAGCACCAGAGGGTAAAGCTGGATAAGGGTATTTTATTACCCTTTGCTTCTTCAGTTTAGGAAAGGGCATTTGGGCAATTCCAGCAAATGAGCTGGATGGGAAGTCTTGCTGGGGGCCTTTGGGAAGGGTTTCCTTGATGGACAAAAAGGAAGTGAGGAAAGGAGACACCCCCTTCCCTCCTTTCAGTCTTTGGATATTTTTGTGATACTTAACTTTACTTGGAGGCACTACAGCCAGTGGGACCTGGCTCATGCGGTATGCATATTAAAACATATCTATGTTTATCTCTATAGATTAGATGGATAGAGATAGCTAGAAGAAACTTTGGAGATCATCATATTCAACATCAAATTCATCAATTTTTGTTAAACCAGGTTCCATATCGTTTGGCTTATTACTGTTCCCCAATGGACATAACAACTATTAAGCCAACTGTTAGGTTTGGGAAGCAGTGATGACTGTGGATATAATCTAATTATTTGGTTGGGTGGGCTATTTGGAGATAGAAACTTGTAATGGGACTCCTTTGATTATGTATCCTATTAGAATTAATTCATTGAGGTGGGCAGTTTATTTCTAGACCATTTAAAAAATGCAACCTAAACTTACTAAGATGAGAAAATTTAATACAGAATTATAAAGGTGATTAGCAATGCTTTTAGCCTTGTAACAAATTTGGCATAAGTTAAAATAATTTATGGAATGTTTGCTTATGTGCCAGACCATATGTTAAGTGCTTGCTTGACTCAGATAGTTTCATTCAGTTCTCACAGCAACTCAGTTGGGTGAACACTGTTATCATACCTATTTTGTGGACGAGGAAAGTGAAGTTAGGTAAGGTAAAATAGTTTACTCAAGATCACAAAGCTAGCAAGTAGAAAAGCTGGGATTTTCAGTTTTCTGTCCAATAGGTGACATAACTTATTCTTGGTTGACAGGGCAGATACTGTTGGGTGCCTACTTAACTATTCTCTCTTTCTCCTCTGAGAGAGAATTCCTATTTTATTTGGGGATCACTCATGACAATTTCATGAACTGTGGCAATCCCTTTTTCCTTTGTCAGTGACTGGTCTGCAGTGACCATGTGACCATTTTTCTGACTAATAAGGGAGATTCTATGGGGGAGGATTAGTCTGGGAAAGATTTTTCTCCTTCATAAAAATGGGAGTTGTACTGCCTTCTTCTCCCTTCCTACTGGTAAAGTGACCTCTGAGGATGTGATGTCTGGAGCTGTGGCAGCCATATTGTAATCAATAGGTGACAAGCCTGGAGATAAAATTCAACAAGAATATGATTATGAGTAAGGCACAAAAAGAGCTTGGGTCCTTAATGACATGACTGTGTTGTTGAACTAACCCTGAGACTACTTATATCTGGATTCATGTTAAAGATGTAATAAACGCCCTCAGTGCTTAAGCTACTGTTATCAGATATTCTGTTCTTTGTGGTCACAGGTATTCTAATGGTTACAATCTAGGCAGGTAAAGACATTCTCTCAGAGTTGCTGAGAAAAGAGATGATGTGGAGGTTATCAAGATTTCATCCAGGAATCTGTTAGTGTAGGTAGTAGATAAGAAAAAAAAATCCAGCTTTGTTCAGATCTGTGTAAATCTGAACAATCCAATAATGTCTGTGTTGGATAGTTCCTCTTTTTCTCCTAGATGTGCTTTTCCTCTTCTCTGTGTGACTGACTGATACAGACTCATCAAACGGCTCTTTTGCTCTCCGGCTCTTGGTTGAATCTGGCTATTGGGATGTACCAGCAGGAGACTGGAGAAGGGAGGCCAGTGAGATACAAATCTCCCAGCTTCTTCCTTGGGTGATTACTTAGGCTGACTGCATCCCATGACTGACGATCACAGGCTCCTGTCAGGCTACCCTTTCTGTGATGAGTTTTAGTAACTGCTTTTTCCCCTTGCTTCTACAGCTCTAGGAGTTTGTGGCCCCAAGATTCCACACTTTCCTTGGTTTCCCACACCTTACCCACATCCTTGTAAAGTACCATTTGTTTCCTGCCAGGACTGACTGATACTATGGTGTGAAGAAAACCACTGCAGCTGCTGAAGCTTGGTCCAGTTTGTTTGAGATGTGGTGAGATTCTGTGGAGTTATTCATATTGTAAATAAGAGCTTTCCCTAATCATTAAAGGGAGACAGGAGGAGGCTACGGAAACGAGTGTCATGCTGTAAAGTGAAACAAAGTATCATAGCTCGGAGAAAACACTTTACACCTGAGGAAAAGAAATCAAAGATGCCTATCTGGAAGACATGGTATTTGGGCTGAGGAAGGAGAGGATTTTTAAAAGACAAAGATGGGAGAGTGTGAGTCAAGCTAGGGAGAAAAGAAAGCTCCAGAAGAGTTTCTGGAAAACTAGGCTGGAAGGGACCTAAGCTGTACTTAATATTCAGTGTTAGTCCTCCCTCCACCTTCTTTACAGATGAGTAAACTTGAAGGTGAGATTTGGTCAAGATCAAACAGCAAGTAGCATGACAGGACTCCTAGGCTAGTTCCTAACCTACCTTCTGCCTCCATCCCACCTAATCTCATCTCAGGCAGTCTGTTTACTTGTCAGTCTCTCCCATTAGACCAAACTCCTTGAGAGTGTCTCTGTTTTCTTCATCCTTGAACCCCAGAGCCTAGTACAAATTTTGACATAAAGTTATCATTAGCAGTACCAGCTACTAAGTGGTAAGAAGCATTCACTCTCTGTCAGGCACTATGCAGATATTTTATATGTACCTCCTGTAATCTTCCCAACAACTTGGAGAGATATATTTTCTCCACTTTTCAGCCAAGAACGCTAAGGCTCAGAGAGGCTGTCTAATTTGCCCGAGGTCACAGAGCAGTGTGCAGGACTTATTTTTACCTTGCATCCACCGGACTCCAGAGTCTCTGACTTACTGGAAATTCAGTAACATTTGTTGAATGAATAAACGAATAAGAAACATCGACTCAGTGTTAAGTGATCGGCTGTAACAGGCCACCCCCCTGGAGGCTCGGCCCCCTCGCGATTTGGACTCAGGTCATCTCCCGTCCAAAGTACACCCGCTGGTTCCGGCTCCCAGCGCCCCGTTCTGGTTCCCAGGCTCCGCCCCGACTCCTCCCGGCTCCATGGCCACGCCTCTACTTCGGGGGTTGGGTCGCTCTCTTTATTTCAGTTTTCTCTTGACTCCAGCCACCGTACGGAGGGCCTCTCTCGGCCCGAAGACCTGGAGCCAGTTCCACTCCCCTGGCCCTCCCTCACTCTACAAACTTCTTTTTTCCACCGTCTTAAACTTCAGTCATCCTAGTGCCCGCCTCTTTCGCTCAGATCAGCCAATAGATGGTTCTCATCCTCGTCGAGGGTCCGCCCCCTGCCCGTCGGGGGCCAATCCCCGGCCAGCGAGTCGAGTGCCGGGGCTTGTTCCCAAGCGCCTGGCCTGTGACGGCAGCGCGCCGGGCGCCGCTCGGCGGGAGGGGGCGGGGCTCTGGGTGAGGGATGGGCGAGGGCGGGGGGAAGGGAAGAGGGAGGTGGAGGAGGTTGCGGCGGGTTTGAAAGCGACAGTTTCCTGGCAGCTTGGGCAGGCGTTGGTCTCCGCGGTCCAGCTCCGCAGCGGCCCCGGTCGATCCTGCGACGGGTCTACGCGCGCCTTTGCGCGCCGCCGACGGATTTTCTCCCGTTCCGGCTCTTCCCCCTTCACCTCCCCGCCCCCCCGCTCCTGCCTTTCCCGCCGCTCCGGCGCTGCGCCCGGGGGCCCGCAGCCGGCTGTGACCCCGCCCGAAACCCCTCTGGAGCCGCCGGAGAACAATTCCCTTCTCCTTTCCTCAGCCTAACCCAGGGTGGCCCTCGCGGAGCCAGACCAGCCGGGAGGAGCGCAGCCGGGAGGGGCGTCCGAGGGGCGTCTCGGAGCTTGGAGCGGCCCGGCCCCCGGCGGGCTGTGGCCAGTGGTGGGGGACGCCGGAGCGGCGAGGCGCTCTCGCCGGGCTGCGCGGGCCGCCCGGGGTCCCCAGGCTGAGAGGGGCCCGGAGCGGCGACCCCGCCGCCCGCGCGGGGTCTCCCTCATGGTGCAGCGGGATTCGGGATGTCGAAGACGCTGAAGAAGAAGAAGCACTGGTTCAGCAAGGTGCAGGAGTGCGCGGTGTCCTGGGCCGGGTCCCCGGGCGACTTGGGCGCCGAGATCCGGGGCGGCGCGGAACGCGGCGAGTTCCCGTACCTGGGGCGGCTCCGGGAGGAGCCCGGCGGGGGCACCTGCTGCGTCGTCTCGGGCAAGGCGCCCAGTCCCGGGGATGTGCTGCTAGAGGTGAACGGGACGCCTGTCAGCGGGCTCACCAACCGGGACACCCTAGCTGTCATCCGCCACTTCCGAGAGCCCATCCGTCTCAAGACTGTGAAGCCAGGTACGTCGGCCCTGCCCTTCTGTCTCGGGGATTGGGGGGAAATCCGGGGTGGGCTTCCTGGGAGCGGCGGCCGCTCCTCAGAGCTTAGCGTGCAGGGTGATCTTAGACTTCTTGGGTGTGCCGGTCTCCCGGGAGAGGAGAAGGGCTGGCGGTGGAGATTCCCATTTTGCCGTTGGGAAAACTGAGCTCCAGCTGGCAAGGCTGCTCTGCAAGCTGTCACAGATCGGGCGCAGAAGCTGGGTTTCCTAGATTTGTAGCTCTGTCTCCCACCCTAGAGTTTTTGACAAGAGAGACATTCGGCCCTTTTCTGTTCTCCTTTGTGGAAAATGCCCCTTGTGATTGTAGCATTCTTGGCAACAGTCTTATGCGTTGTCTAATAGGGAAAAAGGTCTTTACTATTGAGGCACTTAGTGCCAAGGTTACCACCTACTGTACCTAGGAGGGCTTAGCTGCTTCTGTGTTCCTTGCACACTAGCAGCACCTCGGAGCTGACAGCCTACTACTCTATCAGTCCAGGTGGTTCAGGTGTGTGGGTAACCGATGGTGTAACAATACGTGATATGTGGCAGGGAGCTGTCGAATAGTCTGGGTTTCGAAGGAACTAGGTGCCACGCTGAGTAAAAGCTTTGGTAAATCTTTGATTTTACAAAATTTTATTGAAGTAGTGGGTAAAATGGGCTCCTGTTGCCCCGGTGTCTTTCATGCTAGTAAAATCTGCTGCAAAGCACGTTACGTTTATGTTCCACAGCATTGATCAGATTGCGTACAGTGAAATCTGATAGTATGTAATGGCCCCTATGTATTTGTTATCGACAGCATCCGTTGGTTGTTTTGGCATTGGTAAAATGTGGTTCTGTTTTCTGAAATGTTTGTAGGAAAAAGGATTATCACGATGATATTAGACATCGAAATAGTTTTGCTGAATGTGCTCCACTGAATATACAGTGCATCAAATAATGAGTTAATTGTGACTTGGGCTAGAGAAATGAGTCCATCACATCACCGCCAAATGCTGGAAAATTCTGGAGAAAAATTTAATGTGTTATCTTCTCTCACATTTTTTTTTTCTTTCTCAGCAGCTCACTTTGGAAATATCAGATAGTCCTTGGGTTTAATAGAAACTGGTGGTTTGTGGTACAATATACTTATGTGTGTGTTGTGGGTGTATACACACACCCAATTCACATGTCCCTGCAGTTTTAAATTAAGATTTCCTTCATATGATCTATTCCATCATATTCATTTTTAAGCTTACGGGTTTGTGTGAGGTTTTTAAAGTGTTTTTAATTTTAAAAACTTTGGCAGACTTTAAACATCTCTTTATAGTTTTGTGTATTCAGAAATTCTTTCTTAGCTTAAACTTTTAGAGCCATATGTGAAAGAGGAAAGGCTTTTGGGGCTGTAATTAAGCCAGTCAGTCACCATCTGTAATATTACGCAAAATGCTGTATATGCAAACCTGACTGGTCTAGGTACCATTTATTTCAAATCCCATCAGTCAGGGAATAATGAGAACATCTGCATCATTGTTTTGTGTTTTGTTTTGATTAGTTGGGGCATAGATAAGAGTTTAAAATTTGATAGATTGATGAGGAAGTTGATATATGCAGGTTATTGCGATTTTTTAGAAGAGTGGGATGCTGTATCTTTAATATTAGTTTGGTGTGCATGTTATACATTTTTCTCAACTTTATATTAAATTTAAGTTTAGAGTGTAATCAGTAATATAAATTAACTGTGTTGAATAAGTGTTATATGCCCCAGAATGTAGTTGACAGTTTTATAGTAATAAAAGTTTGTCCCCTTAACAACCTCAGATACTGTCCTACTTTAACATTTAGCCAAAATAAAGGGAATAATTTTTATTAATGGGTTTTTATAATCAGTAATAAAAGTTCTGAATACTACACCTGCTTTTTAAAGATACACTCTGCCTCAATACCATGATATATCATTTGAGATTGATATTCTTGTTCCTAAGGAAGCTGTAATTAAAATTTTTTTATCTCTTTATAAAAATGGTATTCTTAATTTCCTAATAGCCTCATGTCAGGTGTTATATTACATGGCTTTGCTCAAACAATGTTTGTTATAAAATAGCTAGAGTTTTGCAGGTTAATCACAAGACTTTAAATATTAGAAATTAAGAACTTTGAAGAGGTTATTTGTAGAACTTTGGGTGTGATTAAAAATATCATAAGTATTGTCTCCAGAGGAGACAAAGATTCATGAAAATACAGAGTAAGGGAATTTAAGAAGGAATTTGCCCTGTTCATTGGAAGCTCTTTTATTTAAACTTTGTGAGAGGAAAATGGATTTTTCAGTTTAATAAGGTATTGTAAAGTGTACTTAGCCCTTTGTCTCTTGTCTTGATCAGTAACTATTAAACTATTTATGACATATCACTTAGAAGCTAGCACAATGCAAGAGTAAATTTAAGCATTTCTGTAAGATGTGATACTAGTCAGTAGGATCTCATACTTCTGAAAAAGCCCATCGCGGAAGGGTGAGCTGGGTGGGCTTACTGCGCTTGATTCTTTCTAGCCTTTTCTTTTCATCTAATAGATCCTAAGGCAAGCCCAGCCAAAGCCAGCACTATCACCCATAGGACTTTATGAAGTTTCTGACAGTGACTGTCTTCAGTTCTGATTTGGGGCTTTACTTTTTTCTTTCTTTTGTTGTAATCTTTAATGAAATTTGAAAGTAACTTTACAAAATATGGGTTGTGATCTGAGGCTTTTACTGAGAGAATTAGAGAATTTCTTATCGAATTCATATTCTTATTTGGTATTAACATGGTACTTAGTAGTCAGTACTTTCCTGCTTCTAGGAGAATCTCTAGTTCTGCCTATTCCTTGGCCAAACTAGTCATCTGTTTTGTAATTACAACCTTGTCATTTATTTTTCTGCAAATAGAAAAAATTTCACTTGAATTTGGACTTTGTATTTTTCAGTAGTAAAGGCAGTTGAACTTTAACCTCTGGTGAAATTGTTTCATGAGATAGTTCTGTGACCAGGATTAGTTTATTTGATTTTACTTCTAAGTATATTTTTTTTACAGTTTCTATTCTGAATAAGGATAGTGGTTAATTTGCTCTAAGATATCCCATACTTTGAATGTGCAGAATTTTATAGATTATTCCTTTATTCCTTTTAAGGAATAAAGGTCATATACCTTTAAGTACATATTTTAGTGCTTTTAGATTATGTGGATTTTATTCCAGAGATTAAGTATTGATACAGTAAGTACACGAAATCATCCTCTACTGTGTTGTTTGTCATGCACACAGTGCATTCAGCTACCTTAATTAAGCCTGATACTGTATCTGGAGATGAAAATCATGAGGAACAATGTTACAGCTTTTTTAAACAAAAACTAATTAGAAACAGATCTTGTTTAATGTTAATTAAATGTAGGAAAAGTCTTCACCACTGACACTTTGAGGTGATTTGATTTATAAGGGAATTCAGTTAAAAGGAGCATATTCTTAGAAATACACTCCCCATTGGTGAAGAAATATGACTTTTAAGTAAGGATGTTTATGTTATACCAGTAATGAATAACTACTCCTTTCTTCTTTTAACTTTTGGATCTTTGTTTAGTGGGTAATTTGACACTTGTGAATTTTGTTTAGATGGTTGTACTATTTGAAGAAGAGAAGGGTGAGAGAAATTAGAGTTAATTTCTAGCTTACTAGGATTGCAATACAAAATATTTTTTGTTGCCTTTTTTTAAACAATAGGAACTAGTGATTTGGTGAGGCAGTCCCTTTGTTAGGGAAAATAGCATCAGTGATAAACCTTAAATTTGATACTTTCCTGTTTTCTAAGAATTTGGTAGCAATTTTTGGGTCTAAAATTGGTCATATTAACTCAAGGTTCAGGTTCTGGACTCTATTCACTGACACCTTTAATTCATGTGAACAACGGGATTATACCACAGTGGCAGGACAAACACACCCTTAACTTGGCTCTTTCAATTTTCAGGTCATCTTTATTTTATTCAGTTTAATGCTAAAATTGATTTTCATGGTATGTAACTGTTCCTGGAGAATGCAAAATTGTTTTCCTCTTAGATCCTGTGACATAATCCATATAAACCTCTTGTTATAAGAGACAAATTTCAGTGTTTTGGGTTTTTCTCCCCCTCCTGATGGCTAATTTATGTAAATTATGGTAAAATAAATCTCCTACATTTGTCGAAGTATCTGACTTGTGAAGTCAGTCCATTATTTTCTCAGGTGAATAGTTTCCTTAAATGTATTTACTGTATCACCCCTAAGTGCTTTGTAAATGTTTTGGGAGTGTGTTTTAAGAGAATTTCATTTTTTACTAACTGTTTCAGTCATAGGTACCAATTTCAAAGTCTGCCAATTTCCAAGTCAATTTTTGGTTGGTTGTGATTTGAAAAACTGTAAATGTTTTGGTTTTGAAGACTAGAACTGTGTCTTCTTTAATCAACTAATTATTTTTGTTTCTCTTCTAAAATTTTGAGAAATAATCTCTTTGCAATACTACATTTTTGTAGAGAATGAATCTTCTTAACTTAAAACTGTTCCTAAATACAAGCTTTTTTAGTAGCTTGGAGGCTGGTGTTGTGAGAAACTTGTTTGTTCGGGAAGAGAGGCAAGTCCATTGTTGCTCTTCAACTTAAACAAATATTCAGACTGTTTTCCCAAAAAAAGGTGCTTATTTTACTTTTATAAAGAGAAAAATAAAAGTTCTCTTACTGGCACGTAACCCTAAACAGACAGTTAGTGGTGTATCCACCATGTGAGCTAGCACTGGTGATGTTGTAAAAATATAAAATATAAAAATGAGTCAGAAATGGTCTCTGTCTTCGGGAAGCTCACAGTTTAGTGGGAACTTAATGACTCATTGGTAAGGAATACCTGTGCCAAGGGTTTACCTATTTCACTTTCTCCCAGTACCTAAGTAAAACTCCTTAGTTAAGTTCTAGTATGAATTTTGGTGTAGGCTAGACTAATTAATTGGCTACC